ACTGGAAAAGAACCAAATATTTCTCACATAAAAATATTTGGATGTGCCGTATATGTACCAATTGCTCCACCACATCGTACAAAAATGGGTCCTCAAAGAAGGCTGAGAATTTATGTTGGCTTTGATTCTCCCTCAATTATAAAATATCTTGAGCCAATGACTGGTGATTTATTCACAGCTCGGTTTGCTGACTGTCATTTCGATGAGACAGTATTCCCAGCCTTAGGGGGAGAAAATGAGAAAAAGGACCCATGTACGAAAGAGATTACATAGAATGCAACACGATTATCTTTTCTTGATTCAAGAACAAATGCATGCGAACAAGAAGTGCAAAAGAAAATTCATTTACAAAATGTTGCAAATCAATTACCTGACGCATTCACAGATTCAAAGAAAGTGACAAAGTCACATATTCCAGCTATGAATGCTCCTGCCAGAATTGAAATTCCTTTAGAGAAAAATGAAAAAACTTTTGCAAATGAGTCTTCAATACGCAAAAAGCGTGGCAGACCACTTGGTTCAAAAGATGTAAAACCAAGAAAACTTAAAAGGCAAGAGACAATACTTGAAACAAAAGACGTTCATTCTTCAAAGAAAGAAATTGTGAGATATAAAGCCCGACTCGTTGCCCAAGGTTTTTCTCAAATTCTGGGGATAGATTATGAAAAAACTTATTCCCCAGTACTTGATGCAACTACGTTGAGATTTTTGATAGGCATGTCTGTATTTGAAAAACTTCAAATGCGTTTAATGGATGTAGTGACAGCATATTTATATGGATCTCTCGATACTGACATATATATGAAAGTTCCTGGAGGGCTAAAGATGCCTGAGGTTTATAGTTCAAAACCTCGAGAGATGTTTTCCATAAAATTGCAAAAGTCACTATATGGACTAAAACAATCTGGCAGAATGTGGTATAATCGTCTTAGTGAATATCTGCTCAGAGAAGGATTCAAAAATGATCCAATTAGTTCATGTGTTTTCATCCGTAGATCTAAATCAGGCTTTGCCATTATTGCAATATATGTTGATGATTTAAACATCATTGGAACTTCTGATGAAATAGAAAATACTGCAAAATATCTCATGAAATAATTTGAGATGAAAGATCTTGGGAGAACAAAATTCTATCTTGGTCTTCAAATTGACCATTTGAAAGACGGAATATTCATCCACCAGTCAAATTACACGAAGAAGGTTCTGAAGCGGTTTTATATGGATAAAGCACATCCTCTCACATCCCCGATGGTTGTTCGCTCTCTTAATGTACATGATGACCCGTTCCGACCTCGTGAAGATGATGAAGAAATACTCGGTCCAGAAATACCATACTTGAGTGCTATTGGAGCTTTGATGTATCTAGCAAACAACACTCGGCCAGATATTGCATTCTCAGTGAACTTGTTAGCCAGACACAGCTCGACCCCGACTAGGAGGCATTGGAATGGCATTAAACACATTTTGCGATATCTCAATGGTACCATCGACCTTGGTTTATTCTACCGCAAAGATGCCAAGGCCACTCTTGTTGGATACGCTGATGCAGGATATTTGTCTGATCCGCAAAAAGAAAAATCTCAAACAGGATATGTGTTTACTTATGGAGATACCGCAATATCATGGAGATCGATGAAACAAACTTTGACTGCCACATCATCAAATCACGCGGAGTTGATAGCTCTCTACGAAACATGTAGAGAATGTGTATGGTTGCGATCAATGATCCAACATATCCAGAGTGGGTGCGGTATAGAAACAATTACTAGTCATTCGACTCCTATATATGAAGACAATACTGCATGCATTGCTCAAGTAAAAGGAGGTTACATCAAAGGAGACCGAACAAAGCATATATCACCAAAGTTCTTCTCAACACATGATCTCGAGAAAGATGGAAAGGTTGACATCAAGCAAATCAAGTCCAGTGAGAACCCCGCTGATTTATTTACAAAAGCGTTGCCCCCAAAGAAATTTGAAGAACTCGTACACAAGATTGGCATGCGTCGTCTTCGTCAATTATGCTAAGGTGAGGGGGAGAATTTTATGAACTGTACTCTTTTTCCCTTGATCAGGTTTTTATCCCACTGGGTTTTTCCTGACAAGGTTTTTAACGAGGCAGTACATAAAATTAGAATGAGTTATTAAACTATGCCCATTTACAAAATACCCATCATTAATTGAAAAATGAACATTCAAGGGGGAGTGTTATGAAATTAATGATTGTTCATTTATTCAATTAATCAGGCATACTTTCTAGAATAGTAGATTAAGACACTAATTAATGAACACTAATTATGTACAGTATTTCCCACTTGTATTTGTATTCATACCAAGCATCTCCACTATAAATAGAGGTCTAATCCCTGCATTGTTATTACCATTAAGAATAAGAAGAAGAGTGAAGAGTTAATAGAGAGAAAAAATCAAAAATATATTATATCTATTCTCATAATCTCTGAGTAGTTTTTCTCTCATTTTACAACAATTATCTTTTTGTGATCTTTTTGTGATATTTTCCTCTTCCAAATACCCTCTAAATCCTTGCGCCACATCCCCTTTTAACTGTGTGGGAGAACCCAAACAAATACACCTAACCCAATTGATTGTAGTAGGTGCACGCGTCCGATTGGTTGTCTATACACTCCGCAATTCCAGCCATCGGATTTTCCGAGGAAATATACACACACCATATCCACCCACGCTCCCGCATATAGATAGCTTCAAGCCTTCACCCAATAATCGTAGTTTTACTTGGGCCTCTGTGAATCAATAAGCGAATGGCGACTACCACTGCTTTGCATCTCAGCGCCTCAATAGGTCAAAATCGTTCTCTTGGTCAACGCACTGGTTCATCTTTGATCCGCCCTGCTCGCCGTGTCTCCGTCGTCTGTGCTGCCGGATCTTACGCTGACGAGCTCGTCAAAACAGCTGTAAGAGTTGTTACCTTATTGAGTGATGTACATCTGTTGAAATTTCCCTTTATTTTTGTGTGGATATTCACGAGCATTGCGTTCTGACAGGATTACTGATGTGGTCCTTTGCGTTAGAGATGTTAGATTTTTTTTCCAGTATGTACTATGTGATTATTTTGATTTGTTGAAAACATTGGATTGTTATACTGGTGTTCATGTGCATACGAAGGGAGATGTGATTAATTGATGTTAGGGTGAGGAAAGAAAAGAGAAATGTAGATGCTTATCTACTCTTTGGGAAGAGATAAGTGGTGGGGTCTAATTAATCCTCCCTCCATCTCATGATCTCTGTTTTTACAAACTGTTTTTATGAAATTAAAATTTGTGGCTTGAGACTTATGATGAGTAAAGAGAAATAGTTTGAATCACACGATTTTGGAACTAACAAAAAAGTTGAAAGAACATTTTCCTGAGTCAAAGGGAGTAGATGTAGAAGTGTGAGTACTGAAGTCTGAAGTTTACACACATAGCCCACCAATGTTTGAATTTTTTCTCTTTCATTTCCTCTTATCTGTGCTCAAAGTGGGCATGCAGAGCATCTCCTGTTAATGTTACATTGATTAGGGGAAAATGCTTTTGTCATCTTTGACAGCTGAATTCTTTCATTATAGTGCTACTAATAGCAACCATTCTTGATCATATCATAACTCTTTCCTCTTTCCTTCACGGGGATAGAAATCTATTGCATCTCCTGGTAGGGGAATCCTTGCCATTGACGAGTCAAATGCTACATGTGGAAAGAGGCTGGCATCTATCGGTTTGGAGAACACAGAGCCCAACCGACAGGCTTACAGACAGCTTTTGCTGACTACACCAGGCCTTGGTGAGTACATTTCGGGCTCTATCCTTTTCGAAGAGACACTTTACCAATCTACCACAGACGGGAAGAAGTTTGTGGACTGCTTGCGAGATGAGAAGATAGTTCCTGGGATCAAGGTTGATAAGGTATGTTCATTCTATCATGTTGGCTAATTAATGGCATGGTTTATTTATTTATTAAATTTTGAACTGTTCTTGGCTTCTTGCAATATGTATTCCAATTCCAAGTCATTTTGTATGTGAAGATGTTTTAAGCATGGTCCATTTCTAACTTTCTTATCTCCCTATAGGGTTTGACGCCTCTCCCGGGATCAAACAATGAATCTTGGTGCCAAGGCTTAGATGGCTTAGCTTCTAGATCTGCCGAGTACTATAAGCAAGGTGCTCGTTTTGCAAAGTGGTATGTATTTCTCGTCTTGTGCCTTTTCACATTTCCATATTTACATTCAAGGGGAGCTCTTACACAAGGGAACTTGAATGGCATGGTAAACAAATATGAGTTTTGCAGGAGAACTGTTGTGAGTATACCCTGTGGTCCTTCTGCTTTGGCTGTCAAAGAAGCTGCATGGGGTCTTGCCCGCTATGCTGCTATATCTCAGGCATTTTTTAACTATCAATACCAGCTTCTGCTTTTTCCCTTTATAATTTGACCTTTTCTTCTAATTCCAAGAGCTTCTATTTCCCCGGGGTGTTTGGATTTAACCCTTATGTTGATCTTGATTGGCATGTGCTCATTGTTTAAACATTAAAGAAATACTGAATTCTGCAGGACAATGGTCTTGTACCAATAGTGGAGCCTGAGATTCTCCTTGACGGGGACCATTCCATTGAAAAAACTCTTGAGGTTGCAGAACGGGTATGGGCAGAGGTTTTCTACTATCTGGCGGAAAACAATGTTTTGCTAGAGGGAATTCTGCTTAAACCTAGCATGGTTACTCCAGGGGCTGAACACAAAGAGAAGGCTTCTCCAGATACTATTGCCAAGTACACTCTCACTATGCTTAAAAGGAGAGTCCCTCCCGCTGTTCCTGGAATCATGGTATGACCCATCTTCTTGCCATTCTGAAAATTTGTGCTTTAGCAAATAAATCATATGCCAGTTTTAGTTGTCTTTAAGATGTTGCTGTATGGAGCTGATAGCTTACTACAATAAATGAATTTTTCATAAGCAGCTTAAGTGTTTGGCATGGCAACTTATTTGAGAAGCTTCAGTACTTTTTAGAATGTGACGTAGGGTAGTATTTTAACAAAAAAGAAAAAAACACATTTTCCTTGGGCTATGTTTTGCACACCATAGTACAACAAACTATTAGAATTTTTGAAAAGAAACTTTTCAAATAAGTTTCATTTTGTTAGCATATTACCTCCAGATTATTATTATTATTATTCTTTAATATTTTTTGGTTTTCAGTTCTTGTCAGGAGGACAATCTGAAGTGGAAGCAACACTGAACCTCAATGCGATGAATCAAACCCCAAACCCATGGCATGTTTCCTTCTCATACGCACGTGCACTGCAAAACTCTGTCCTGAAGACATGGCAAGGACGCCCTGAGAATGCGGAAGCTGCCCAGAAAGCACTGTTGGTTCGCGCAAAAGCAAACTCCCTGGCCCAGCTCGGCAAGTACTCGGCTGAAGGTGAAACGGAGGACTCAAAGAAAGGAATGTTTGTCAAGGGTTACACCTACTAAGTGCATGACAACTCCTTATGCTTATCATGTTGCCTGCTGTTTAGTAGAGTTAATCTATAAACCATACTTGTCATTGTTTTCGACCTCCCTACAATTTTTTTCCGAATAATAAGTCTGCCATCGCGAGGTTAAGATTGCTCAACTCTTTAACTTTGGATTGGATAATTTGTATTATTTTATGCGGAATACAAAGTGTTTTTTCGGACTCGTATGCTATGCAATGTTCTAAAAAGCGCTACGGCGTCTCGTAGACGGTAAGCTAGGGCCTAGTCTAGGTGGGGATTAATTGAGGCCTAGGCGGTCTTAAACAGGGAGAGAATGGAGACAATTAATTGATGTCTAGCGCCCTAGCAGACCTAGACAGGGATTGTTAAAACATTGAAGTTATGTTTGTTTCCTGCTCGTATTTTTATTATAGACTGTAGTTAAGATGAATACTCCATCTCATAATAAAAAAGTTTACGGTTTGACATGATATAGCTAAAGGAAAGTGTTGAAAAATGAAGTGATTAAATAAAATAGAAATGATTGAAAATTTGGAAGTCATATATTTCATTCTTTAATACAAAATAATTGTTATTTTGGAATTTTTCTAAAAACAAAGTGTGAATTTTATTTTGAACGGAAAAATCGGTATTTGGACAAGCTCCATAACATGTTTCAAATTATCACTAGAAAAGACTTGTATTTGGTTCAATGAATTTGCAAGGGAAAAGAAATAAAAATGAGATAAAAAATACGGAGTATTCCGTAATTTTTTTGTTTAGTAAAAGAGGAAAAGAGAATGAGAATACAAAATGTACCAAGAGATGGGAAAGCCATATTCCTCCTATTTTGGTTAGAAAATGAGAGAACTATTTTTTTTCTAAATTCCTCGAATCAAACGGAATATTACTATGTTAGGGATATAATCTGGTAAAGGCTTAGGGACACTCACATTATGCGAGAAAAAAATCTTTCTCCTTAGAATTAAACTGTGTACCCCTAAATTGTATCCTACTTTGTATCCCGAAAGCATGCACCGACATTTTTTGCTAGTGTAATGTTAGTGTGATGGTCTTCAATGAGACAAAATGTCAGTACAATTTTTTTTAATCAGCATTTTGTGTCAGTGTGAACTGTTAAAATACTTGTGCATCTTTTTGGAGTACAATTTGAGTTAATCTTCTTGGTATACCCCTAGCATGGTTCTTCTTCTTAATAGCCAACCCGATTTGGTTGATTATTTGCAGTTTTCCTAGGTTGCTGCCTTATGGTTTTAGTGAGGGGTGATTCTATCCCTTCCTCTTTTATGCTACCCCACTATATATATATTTTTTGATACATTAAATTTTCCAAATTGCGACTAATCTTAGAACTCTATCCTAAGAACTTTAGAGGAGGTAAACCTGGACACTTTTGCCCCTTAGATTCCTATTTCATCACATACTGATTGGTCAACTCCTCATATTGATTAATTAGCGTCTGATTTTGGTGGTCCATCCCTTACTCAGCATTAGGTCCTCGTATATCCAATTTAGGTTTTTAGTAGATCCAAACTACTACTATACACTGCGGATGGAAATGAGTCATCTGCTATTGATGGGAAAACCCTCATCTACCCTACACGGTAGCTCGAACTTAAGACCTTCCAAAGGAGAGTTTTAAGCGTTGGAAGTGGCTACGAAACTTGCTTAAATAAACTACTAATTTTCATTTACAATATTTTATTGAAATGATTTTTAGTTTAATTTACTTAGGAATTGAATTTTTAAATGAAGTTTAGGACTCAAAAGCAGCCATTGTTATGGGTGGTCATCACCTAAAAATAATGAGGGCGACCGTATCTCTTGGTCGAGAATTGGGTTGCCAAAAGATACGGGTGGTCTGCTTTGGAGGAAACATAGGTGTTTCTAAGCCAAATGTAGGTTTTCAACGTAGGGTTCAAAACTATTACCAAGGTTGTTATGAAATGAAACAGTTTTTGTTGATGCAGTGATCATAACTTTGAGGCGGATTTTGAAGGTCATCAGTGGAGTCCCATTGCAGTTGTTTGAATATTCATCACTTACCCATGCTATCTTCTCCCTTTGGACGGTTTTTCCTGCACATAACGTCCTTCCGGGAAGGGTTCTTTCGGAGTCCACCCGTGTTTTAAAACAACGATGCCTCACTTGTCCTCTTCATCCTAGCAGTAGTCTGGAAATCCCGTGATGACGTGATATATGGTGCCAACACCACTCATATTCCACTAGCGTCTGGCATTCTGCGTGGTACCTTAGCTTTTCTTTGAATGGCAGCAGCTCAACACGAATACACCCAGTCCCTCCCTTGGTCCTCGAACTTGGACAAAGCCGCCCAGCGACTGGGTAAATCTTTAACGTTTTACTTCTAGTGTAGTCATTTTCTCAATATTCATCCCCAACTAAAGTAGCATTGAACATGTAAAATGCACTGATACAAAGGATAGGCCAAACAAACAAAATAGCCCATTATAAATCTATTTCCACCCTACTGGATTCATTTTTTTATAAAGAAAACTAGATTCAAAGAAATGGACAATGGCATAATGGTTTGTTCCAGTGCTTTAGAATCTTACGGAGTACTTTATTATATACTACGTACATTTACAAAAAAAATGTATACTTCGGGTGTGTTTGGGAGAGTGGTAAAGTGAGTAGAAATCTTTCTTCTAAAACAAAGATAAATTATTTTCCCTTATGTTACCAAACAAGGGAATATGGAATCAAAATTTTCCGAGAAAGTATTTTCTTCCAAACCAAACACACCCTTTGACAAAATTCAGTGGTCAGACCCTCAAAGTTCCTCTTCTAAATTCTCTATCTTTTGTTTCTACCAAGCAAAAAAAACATCAGTAAGCTATTGTCCCCATTGCAGGCCACCTCCATCCTTGTTTGGCCACTGTCAACTGCCTCCACCACCAGGGCAACCCAGACAACTCAAGAAATGAATTTAGGGAGTGAGTTTGAAAAACAGATATTGGTCAGAATGTTTTCACAACCTGGAGAACAAAACAATGGAAATTTAAAAAATGACACAGGAAATGTATCTGTTGAGGTTGCAGTTACAGACATGAAACTATGCAATCATCATCTCCATGTCACATCAAGTAACAAAAAGAAAGTGATATGGAGTAACTGATTTAAGTACTCACTGGGTCTTATTTCTCGCCTGTCAATTCTTATGTCATGGTTTTGTACTCGAGTCCACGAACATTGGTGCGGGCTCAGAAGTTCAGGCCAAAAATCGCTCCCCTGTCAAAGTTCAATGACTTTGAGGGTTCTCAATGAATGGCATCTTTTAGTCCACCAACTCATTCCAGTTACACATCTGCCAAACGGAAAGCGATTTATTCTCTTAAGAAACTTGAAACTCCAGCAAAAGGAATTCAGCAATATTCACAGCTTATCCCGGTCTATAGGGGAAACCTAAAGTGATTTTTTAACGGAGTTAATGCAAAATTCATTCCGTTGTACCTCTATAGAAACATGATCTTTGAACTGCCTGACCATCCTGCATTCTATGCGACTCGAATGGCAATGGTCCTGAGAATGACCGCCCTGTTTGAGCTGCCTTGTTCACCATTACGGTCCTGATTCATTTGGATATATATTAGAGCTTTGGCAACATGAGAAAATGTCCTTAAATAATAATAGTAATAATAATACCCCATAATAATAATAATAACAGTAAATACTGCACTTCTAATCTGGAAACATCTGAGTGGGTACAGATCTCATATACAATAATAATTTAAAAAAGGTATTGAAACATCAAACTATAGTTGTAAACGATAGAACCTCGGCTTCAATAAAGCATTTTCTCATTGTGATTTTGTAGGAAGCTATAAATGGTGTATAGGCAAAGAAAGAATGTGACTAACCACTGATAATTCATAAAAGAACACAAGCCGTTCCACCCGTTTATCGTGAAGCCAAGAGGTGAACCCGTCATTCTTGTGACTGCTGCTTGAACATTCTCAATTTTCTTTCCCATATAAATCCAATGGGTCGATGGGTAGTTTTACAGGATTCATTTGTAGCCTTCTTGAATTACCATAAGCATGTAATCCTGAACGATCCAGTCTTTGACTTTTTGGCCATCCATCATAACTGCTAATTGTTTGTACAGGGACAGAGCAAATACTGTCCCCTTGAGATAATTCTGTTGTCTGAGAAGCTGCCTCTGAAAAAGTGTCATAGGGGGTTTTATGTGACATCCTGGCGACAGTAGCTCCTTTAGAACAAGTGCTTTTTCCATTGCTTCTACGAGAAGTGTGATAACTTGACTTCATATCCTTCAAAGACATAACACCATAGTGAACGAAAATGAGCTTACTTAACAACAACATTAGAGAGAGAGAGAGAGACCTCAGTGGAGGCTACTCCTCGACGTGTTCTCTTATTCCTTGAGAATGCAGATCCTCCCCTTACTGTGGAACCTGTCTTCCGTCTGAAAATTAATGGGTCATCAGACAGAGTAACATATTTAGGAGGCACCATTTTTTTCAAAATATCTTATTTTGTACAGAACTTGTGTGTTTTGGATCACTTATGGTACTCAAAAATTTTATCGTAAGTGTTTCCTATTTCAGCAAATAGAAACTTTTTTTTCTGAAAGTGGTTCCTATTTCAGCAAAAAACTTTTTTTCATTAGCCAAAGGCTTCTTTTTTTCAGTAAACGTACTACTATTTTAGTCCTCCCCGAAAACATCTTTTTAAAATAAAAGTACTATGAGTATTTTCTTTCATTTTCAGCCAAATTTGTTCCCCGAAAACAAGTCATCCGGATCACTCTCTTCATATTGGTTGTAGCTATATTACAGTCACACGTAGATGGCTAAACTGTCAGGCATTGATATCTTTGAAAGTGTAATGTCATGAAATTTCTAAATAGAAGTATAAGTACTTCACCTCCTTGCTTCTTCACGGAGTTTTGCATCAATCTCTCTGTTTGGTGGGAAAATTGGCATGGTTGATGGATCACAAGCATAGGGCCTCGTATAGAAATACTAAGTCCAGAAATAAAACATAAAGACATGAGTTTAAACTTTATGTGTGGGTAATAGGGATGGATATCACATTTTTTTTGCCTCATGGTCAATTGAACCTTGAAGCAAAAACCGATGGTAATGATTAATGAACTACAAAAAGAACAGGAAATTGTGCATTTAGTTGCAAAAGTTACCTCAGAATTAAGGGAAGACGATGCAGTTCCACGTTCGTAAGGTTCTATTGAGAGAAGTGTTTGGATAAGGTTTACAGCAGATTTTGGTAATTCTTTACATCTTTCACGGAGTGTACTCTCATAAGCATATTGGGGTTTAAAGATTGCTGCAAGTGGACGTTTAGAATTTTCCCAATACGCATCAGGTGGTGAACCACATAGTTTAAAGATTTTGTGCAGTTGTTCCACCTGATTACCAAGAAGATAATATTTTAGAGTACTATGGCATACAAGAATTCATATTCAAGACAGAACCGGACATGACCAAGATCTTCAGTACACGCTTTTTGGACTCTAGGTTCTGCATGGTCTAGACCAAATCCTTTTTTCTTCAGATTTATTACGGAGTATAATTATCAAACATACATGCTTGGCGATATGCATTTTTCAAACATTAATTTTTAGAACTTAATTAGCACATTTATACAAGTCATTTTTTTAAAAAATCTAAAAACTAGATGAGCCATTTTTCAACAGGTCAGACTGATTTGGACCAAAAGATGCTTATGTATGGGTCCAGTTCAGTCTAAGGCCGGAATTATTATTTTAGACCGGAATTATTATCTTAGGTCCACCTCCTTTTTTGGAGATTCCGGTCCAACAAGTGCTCACCCCATCATAAATAAACATGTACGTAGAGTGTTAAGAATACACACTGACCTCAGTTCTACCTTTTAGTAGAGGCTTTCCAAAGAAAAGCTCTGCAAAAACACAGCCAGCACTCCATAAATCAACTGTCACACCATAATCTGTCGACCCTAACAGAAGTTCGGGCGGTCGATACCACAGGGTCACAACTCGGCTGGTCAGTGGTTGCTTGTTGTTCTTTGCACTAACAAAAGTTGCAAGACCAAAGTCTCCTATCTTCAGAATTCCTTCATTGTTTACTAAAATGTTTGATACTTTGATGTCTCGATGCATAATCCCCCTTGAATGGCAGTGTTCTAGCCCAGACAATAGCTGCGTCATAAAGCATTTGATCTATTCCACAAAAACAAAACATTTTGCATCACGAAATGAGAGAACAAACGTTAGGCCTCCACAGGTTTCATGAATGAATGAACATACCTGTGAGTCATTGAACTTGATGTCGGGACAAGACAGCAATCCCGAGAGATCATGTTCCATGTACTCAAAAACAAGGCAGATGCTACACGACGACCTGGAAGTGATTATGCCCTCCAGTTTCATGATGTTAGGATGATCAAGTCTGCGGAGGACAGTTATTTCTCGTGCCATAAATCTAACACTTTCAGGTTGGAAGTTGTCAAACCGAACCTTCTTCAGGGCAACCACCTTTCCATTTTCAAGATCACGTGCCCGGTAAACACTGCTGTACGTACCCTGTCCAATCTATGATGCAGAATATATCCTCATCAGATCCCTCCATTTAATTATTTTTCCATTGTAAACTAACTCAGGATTTTGTTTATATCATATGGAGTATATAAATAGTCTGGGAAAACACACGACGCTGCCCATAATTCTCATTTGATAGTTTTGGGTTTGGCAAAAGAGCAAACACATTTGGTGTACCTTTTCTAATCTCTGAAACTTGTCTGCTCTGAGGGGGAGCCATCCCTCAACGGCCTCTCCGGCCACGGCAGAGAGCCACGAAGGCCAACCAGCGGCAGCGTGTTCGCCTTCTGTCAGCCTCCCAAATTTGATGCTAAATGCAGCTTTCCTGGCGGAATGCACCTTCGACAATGCCTTGGGATTCTTCTTGGCAGGGGAACGAAATTCCTCCTCCCCTTCCTCCTCGGACTCCTCTTGGATCTTCTCCAACCCTCCGAACCCAACCTTGCGGTGGCCCAAACTCGACCGGGAACGGCGGTACTTCCGGCCATCTCGGATGGTGGTAAGGGCAGAGGAATCCGGGGAAGAAAAGGCATCGTGGCGTGCCTGTCTGGAGCTGACGCAACCCATGATCCGAAAACCCGTCAACTACTCATCGGATTTTTGGGGGATCAGATGGAAGACCCACTTCACTTGGGTCTGGGTCTGGGTCTGTGATCCCCCACGAGAGAAAGAGACGGGCAGGGCGGTGGCCGGAGGGGAGGGATGGATAATCAATAAGAGAATGAATCAGAAAATGGCTATTGCTATTCAATTCGGATAGTCCCACAGTTTCGCGCTCTCTCATCCACCACCATCCAGCAACAGCGACATATGCGGAGTGGACGACATCATCATCATCATCATCATCATCAACCTCGAATAGTCATTTCATGATGATTGGTTGGTTCAATGGGAAGTCTACCATACGTGGTGTTCCTAGTTTTACCTATATCCTCATGCTTATTTTAGGCCCTCCCCTGTGCCACGCGGGAAGGCATTGCGAGATGCTAGGTGGCGCGGGAACGGAAGGGGGATGCAGCCCCCTGCGGGAACTGCAAGATCAGGAGCCCTCCCCGTTTTTGCATTGGCCTTCAATAGTCACATTTTATTTTTTTTTTCTTTTTTGTTTTTGTTTTTCTTTTTGAAGTACCCATTTGCATATTTTAAAAAAATCCTTAAAAAAATTAAAAAAAATTCATTATTTAGAGCCTGTTCTTTAAAGCTTGAACTCTTAACTTCCAGTTTCTTCTAGATCCTTCCAGTTTTTCCAGTTTCTTCCAACTAATTTCATTTTCTTCAAACTCTTTTTACTCCTCAATCAATTACTCTAAAAACGATATATTTTAATGTGACTATTATTATTATTATTATTACAACTGTTATGTTCATAACTATAGTTTACAAATTATTTTTTCATCTCACTATTTTTAAGATTCACACTCATTATTTTATTTTTTTTAACTTTTTAATATTAATAAGGAAATTTTTTATATATTAGTCTACATGATAAAACAAAAAAACATTAATATGTTAACTTATATTAACAAAATTATGGATAAAATAGTGAAATTGAATGTTTTATTAATCTAACTTTATATAAGATCTCTCACATTTCCCTTTATTACTTGAAATTTGCTCATTTTTCTAATTTTTTTTTTTAAAAATGTATGTCAAAATAGTTTAGAAAAAAAACTAAAATAGGAGTAAAATATAAAAATGTAAAAAAAAAGTTATATGTCTTTATTCCAAAAATAGGACTTCAATAAAAATAAAATGTCAATCATGAAAGAAAAAAATAGATTTGATTACATTATGTGACATGTCTGACATTTAAAACCAAATCTTGTAATATATAAAGTATAATTACAAATATATTATTCATAATATATACTATATAAATAAATTGAGGTGCAATATAACCACAAAGACTTTTTAAAATTTAATATTTTTATATTTATGCTAACTTTATATTATAACTATTGTTTTTCAAAAGTAGTTTTTTGTATTTAAAAAATAATAATACTTTTTTTGTATAATAATAATAATAATAATAATAATAATTTATAACAACAAGAATTTAAAACAAATGTTTTTAAAGTTTTTTTAGGTTTTCTAATTTATTGAATTTTTTCCAGTTCTTTCCAGTTTCTTCCAACATCCAGCTCTTTTTTTCCAGTCCTAAAGAACAGGCTCTTAAACACAACACTCCACTTTTATTTTTCACACATTTTCCATCCATTTCTTTGAATTCTCCATTCTTCATATTCATTTTAAACACCTCTCACCACAATGTCATCTCTTTCATCAGATACGATGTTAAATTCTTCTTTGTCTTCTTTGGATGAAGCCGAAATTTTTTTCACAAATGTGATCACAGAGGCGGCAAAAACTTTAGCTGAGCATGTGGAAATTGGAAGTACTTCGGCGCCAAAAAAAAGAAATGCAATGTTGCAACGAGTTCGGAAAGGTATAAAAATATAAATCTTACGTACATTTCATTTTTTTAATCTTAATTAATTTTTTTACATACCTTTTTTGCTATAAATTATGGCATACAGACCGTAGGTGGCCATGACCAACTTGTGGCCGATTACTTTGCGAAAAATTCGGTGCACAACGATGACTAGTTTAGACGATATTTTCGTATGAGTCGCTATCTTTAATTTTCCTCCGTATTGTCGATGATTTGGCACATGCAGATCCATTCTTTTACTCTACTTGCGGATGGCAGACAAAAGTTGGGTTTTACTACCTTACAAAAGTGCACCACGGCAATTTGACTAATGACATACAACACGTTCGCAGATGCACTTGATGATTATCTTAGGATTTCCGAGAGAACGACCCGTGAATGCTTGTACAAGTTTGCAAAATGGGTCGCCAAGTTGTATAGCGAACATTATTTACAGAGACCATCTCAAAAAGACAGTTCAAAAATTATTCGTTGCCCACAAAGCGAGACATGAGTTTCCCGACATGCTTAGGAGTATTGATTGCATGCACTGGATGCTTCATAATTGTCCTAATGCATGGTGTGGTCAATTCACACGAGGGGATCACAGATGATAAGTCTGTTTTGTACACACTTATCTGCTCCATATTTAATGTGTTATTGTCCAATTTTGAATCAATCAATACAAACTCCCATTTGTTTTCACATGTTTTTGTTCAAAAATTTAAAGTGCACAAAAGTCAAGTTCCTATTTTGAAAAGAATAAAAGTTGGGTCAAAAGTATTATCAAAGAGTAAGCAACAAGAGCGCTACACAGCAAATAAATATAGAAAAAAATACAGGAGAACCAAACGGACCCTTATCTTTAGTTGGCGCAAAAGACAAATTTGCTCAAAAAAATATGGTGGCAGAAGAGGCATAAAAAGATTTGGGATCAAACGACTTCAAAAACATTTAAAAAAATGAGAGTCAAACTAAAACAATGATGATTTTTTTATCTCTCAAATGGTTGAAAATTTGAAGTCGCCGTAGATCAAGAAGAAAAGTTGTTCAAAACAAAGTTTTGAATTAGATAGAACTATTCAAAATTAATTTCAGACCAGGTCAAAATCCAGCTTACCAAGCGCTGCCACGTGGCCACAAGGTGGTACACTATTTTTGGGTTCTCTTCTGTCTCTTTCCAGCTTACCAATTTTAAGAGAATAGTAAATTAGGATTGAGAAGTTAATTCTATTATTTTGATAATTAATCCAAGGGGGTACATATTTATTATAGAGTATAGAGAAACTCTATTTTTAGCGAGATAAAGTTAACCTTAACCCTGTCGGATCAAGATATACATGGACGTAAAGAACCGAACAGGAACCCTGAAAGAGCTTATAATTTTGTTCACCTAATACAAAACTCGATTACGATAAATATTATATTATAAATATTAACTAATAAATAAAGACTAACTAATATATACTTCATCAGTCTTAAAACTATCTTTCCTGTTCACTAGGTCAAACTTTACCTATTTGTAAGCTTAATTTTGTCACTTTTTTGATAAAATTATAGTGATGTCATCTTTTGTTTCGTAGATCAATCTTTTGATGTAGTTTTTTTAAATATATAAATTATATTTTAAAATTCTTTACCAATTTTGTAATAAATTATTATCAAAATATCTTTAGTCAGGTATCATAAATTGCAACAAGAAGTTAGTTTTAAGACGGTGGGAGTAATTAATTAAATAATACAAAGTATAACTAAATATTTACACTCTCTATTTTAGAAAACCACCTTGTTCTCAATGTAGATGCTCTGATATCGCTCATGCTTATGAAAAAGAGACAAAATGTTAAACCAAAGAAGATGCCCATTTGGTGTCCAATCTTCATGAAGCTTGCTTATTGTGCCGGAGTAAAAGAATTATGACACGAAGCCAATCATCTTTACAAGCACTAAGAGATAACCAGGTCCTTTAACTTGATAACATCAATAAGATCAGTGTAAGCTTAATTTTGTCACTTTTTTGATAAAATTATAGTGATGTCATCTTTTGTTTCGTAGATCAATCTTTTGATGTAGTTTTTAAATATATAAATTATATTTTAAAATTCTTTACCAATTTTGTAATAAATTATTATCAAAATATCTTCAGTCAAGTACCGTAAATTGCAACGAGAAGTTAGTTTTAAGACGGTGGGAGTAATTAATTAAATAATACAGAGTATAACTAAATATTTAAACACTCTCTCTTTTAGAAAACTACCTTGTTCTCAATGTAGATGCTCTGATATCGCTCATGCTTATGAAAAAGAGATAAAATGTTAAACCAAAGAAGATGCCCATTTGGTATCCAATCTTCATGAAGCTTGCTTATTGTGCCGGAGTAAAAGAATTATGACACGAAGCCAATCATCTTTACAAGCACTAAGAGATAACCAGGTCCTTTAACTTGATAACATCAATAAGATCAGCCATTTCATTTTGGTTGCGTGAGACACAATCGAAATAAGAGTCTTGTTGAATTGTGATGACACCTCTTAAATATTGCTTCTCTGCATGGTCTCAATGGTGGTCATCCACTTCAACATCTTCTGTCAAAATAACATCGTTAACGGTAAGGGGAACAACATTATATTGGAGACACTTACACAAAATCAACAAAAAAAATTCCTCCTTAGATTCTTTGCCATAAGAATTAATGTTTTGCATAATTACCATGAGGGCTAAACTTTGTGTAGAAAGTGGAGCGTCAATGAGGTTTGTTATAGTGTCCATCATGTTTGTATTGAAATGTTGTAACTCCAAAAGGATCTGATTAGGCACAATTCAGGACTACAAGCCAAATCCTTTATTGAGCAAGAGATTTTAATGTTGAACGCATATAAATCAGAATCATAATTAGGTTGACCTTCAATATAATTGAACGACTAGAACCTCTACATAATTTCATCTATGTAGAGCATCAACGAATAGAGTTGGAAAAGTTGAAAGTCATGACTACCAACATCAAGAGTCTTCCATCGACGGAACATGCGATGTCGAGGAAAATGAAAAGACAAAATTGTAGAGAAATGACTTAGACATAACATGGATTTCTAGTCTTTTCTAACTTTTTTAAATTAATTGCGCATCAACTTTTCTAAAAGGAAAAATCTTATGTGGTCATTGAGTCTATACTTATTTTATGAAACTTAGTACAAAAATACGATGTAAGAGTTAAGTTTTTTGTAAAAGAAAAATATCCACTTATTGTAACACCTTAATCCGTCTAGGTCAGCA